ATAAGTGTCCAAAAAAATGTACATCCCGTGCATCGCACGGGCTCTGTACTAGTATATATTAAAAGCCAACCTATTTACCAAAAATAGTAGCAAGAAAAGTCAACACACATTTAATGCATACCTTATTTGGAATTTTTTTTACTATATGCATTAAATGCTTGCATATTTACATTTATTATCCAGGTATGTTCTTAAAGATTTTCTCCTTAAATAATTTATGCAATGATTTTACTGATATCTATTATAATTAATATTTGTCGAGTAATATTTTTTAACTTTTATTTAATTATATAAAACTAATATTTTTTTTTAAAAATAATTTATTTATCATTTAAAAGATAATGATCACATCATTAAATGATTTTATTGATAGTTAGATAATAAAATTGTATTAGTTATTCTTTAAAAATTTTACTAAAATAAAAACCGGCTTAAGAAAAAAAATCTCATAACATCCGATAAGTCAAAAAAAAGTACGTAAAATCTTTACTAAAATAAAAAAGACTTTATTTATTTGTCTTAATCTATAATAACATCAATTCAGTTAAAACAAATCTCATAATCGGTGAAGTCAAAAAATGTACGTAAAGCCTATTTATACTAAAAAAAAGGCAAATTCAAAATTCCTTATCTAATTTCTGTTTAAAGCATTTTATTTAATGTTTATTTATATGAAATATTGGATAGGATTGTTGGATCTGAGTCAATTTTGAAATCGTGTTGTTTGGTATGAGAGGATTATCTGCATCCTATATCTGTCTAAAGCATATTATTTTATATTATTTAATTAATTTATTTAATATTAAATTTTTTTATCCATGATATCAGTTTTGTCAAAAAAATTGAACAAACAAACAAATAAAAAAGAAACGGGATTAATTACCTTCGACTTGTAAAAAATTTATGGGTGGGCGTAAATATTTAACAATGCTGTTTCAAGTTCTTTAAATAATACTATAACTATGATGTTGAAATATAATCTGTTTTATGAGTGACGTAAATATGTTGTTTAAAGTTTTCTAAAATATTTTTTTAAAAAAAAATTATGTTGTTTAAATTTCCTTAAATATTAATATATTTAAAGTATACACATGCTGTAATATATTAAAGTCAAAACAATGTTGGAAGGCTCTTGAATTATCTAAGTTAATTAATTTAAATGTTTAATCCCATTAAATCTTCAATCCATGGAATATTTTTACTAATCCCGTGAGCATGTTGTTTTGTTATTGTAATCAACTTATACACTATTATACTAATAAATTATTTAATATCTATGTACAAGGAGGTCTTTAATAATATATGATTTTTTTTTGTCAGATACTATTTTATTGTATAATTTTCCTGTGTACTATAAAATTTTTTTTGAATATTACATCTTATAATATAATATTCCCTAAATAAATATATCCCGACTCCCGTGTCTCGCACCGGTCCCGTACTATATATATCACGTACATTTTTTTATTCATTTATATAATTATAAGGCTGTATAAATAACCTTAAAATTGTGCACTCCGTGCATCGCACGGGCTCTATACTAGTGTATTTTAAAAGTTGATAATTTTTGTATTTCTTATCGGTTGTACATATATAATATATCAAATTAATCATCTTTTGATGATCTTCGATTTAACATCCATATTGTATATATGAAATAAATAAATTATATTTATCTTTATAATAATAAAAAATTAATAATATTTATTAAAATTTATTAGAAAAATAAAATTATTTCTCAATTGATATATTTATGTTTAATGTAGTTATATGTTGTAAGTTAAAAAAAATTATTATAATATAACACATGTAAGTCGCACAAATAAAAAAGTGTCATACTAAATATATAACAATATATATATTTTTATAAAGGTATTTAAATTTTCAACTATTTTTTTCATTAATTTTAGATTTAAAAAAAAAATTAGCAAGCACTCGTGTAATACACGGGCGTTGTACTAGTATCCCCCTATATATTAATCCAGACTGCTTCTGGTGCTTCGGAATCCTATGTGGCAAAATTACATGCTTCGTTATTAAGCTTGGGTAATTTTTAATTTAATTCCAAACCAAAATAATTAGGTTCGGATTACCATAAATATGTTGATTATTTATGGTCATGTTACATATATTAATTGCATTTTAATATCAATTCTTATTATAATTATTGAATTGTATATATATTTTAAAAGTTAATAATTTTTGTATTTTTTATCAGTTTTACATATGTAATTTATTAAATTAATCTTCTTTTTTTGAGCTTCAATTTAACATCCATATTGTATGTATAAAAAAATAATATATATTTATTTTTATAACAATAATAAAATTATTTTTAATATTAATTAGAAAAATAAGTTATAAAAACTAATATAATATAACATATGTAAGTCATAAGTAACACATATCATTCTAAAATATATAGTAATATATTATTTTGGTAAAAAAGTAAACTAAATTTAATATAGTTTTCTCATTAATTTTAAAATTTAAGAATAATTTTTTAACAAGCACTCGTGTAATACACGGGTGTTGTACTAGTATATATATATATATATATATATATATATATTATAGAAGATGCTACGGTCCCATTACGTATCCATTTCGTTGGAGTTTGTTACCTTTAATTAGATCAACTAATCCCGACGATTACATGATGATCCAACGATTACAAACCTCGACGCAATGATTCCGCAACGAAACCGTAGTATTTCCCATTATTAATCCCCCTATATATAATTCTCAAATGAGCTGAGCCTACGTGGTTGCTTCTGGTGCTTCGAAATCCTACTTGGCGAAGAATCATGCTTCGTAATTAGGTTTGGACAAATAATATTGATATATTAATAATTAATAATCTAGGTTCGGACATTCCATAAATATTATTTAGTTAACTTAGTATTTTGATATCACTTGTAATATTATAACCCTTTAATTTTTGGTAATTTTACATAGTAAGACACTAAGTGACTAATATATCCCTGACTTTTGATTTGTTTCCTTCAATTAGCTATTGAATTGTAAATGTATTTTAAAAGTTGATAACTTTTGTATTGCTTATCAGTTTTGCATGTATAATATATCAAATTGATCATATTTTGATGATCTTCGATTTGACATCCATATTGTATATATGAAATAAATAAATATTTATCCTTATAATAATAATAATAATAAAATATTTATTAAAATTCATTAGAAAAATAAAATTATTTCTCAATTCATATATTTATGTTTAATGTAATTATATGTTGTAAGTTAAAAAATTATTATAATATAACACATGTAAGTCGCACAAATAAAAAATATTATACTAAATATAATATATATATTTTTATAAAAGGTATTTAAATTTTCAACTACTTTTTCTCATTAATTTTAGATTTTAAGAAAAAAATTAGCAAGCACCTGGGCATTGTACTAGTATATATACTAATACCAAAACTAACATAATCTATTGAAGGGGAAATACTACTTACTGAATCATTCCATTAAAAACAATTCAATAGTTAACTAAAGGAAACAAAAAAAAAAAACCTCTCTCGCGAAAAAAAAAAGCAGAAAACCTTCCGTCGTCGTTCTCTACTTCGCGTCGTTTGCCTTCCTCGCCGACGGCGAGGCTTCGGCCTGCCGTCGCCCTTAATCGCCCGTTCCTCCCTTTGTCCCCACGGTCGGTTGCGGTTGCTGTAGGAAATCGGAGCTGGAAGGTCTGCCCTAGCCATGGCGGCCGGCGTTTTCACGATTGAAGTGGGCGAGCTCCTCGGTCG